TCCAGCCTAGAGGTCACAAGGGCACGAGTGACTGTTGTCTGTTGTGAAACTGTTGACTGTTGTGAAACTGGATCAACCAGATTTCCATTTTTTTGTCAGAAATGGTGTAGGGCAGTGATGGCAACCCTTTTTCTGCTCAGGTGCTAAAAGGGCACAGGCGCAATAGTGCGTGTGTGCGTGCCCACACCCATAATGCAATGCCCTCCCCCCAGCACATGCGCACATGACCTCCTGCTCCCCTCCTGTGCATGTGCGCAGGCCTCACTGAAGCCTCCAGATTTCCAGTAGGCCTGATGGGCTGTTTTTCGCCCTCTTCAGGCTTCAGGAAAGCGTCCTGAAGCCTGGGGAGGACAAAAAAACAGCCCAATGGGCCTACCGGATGTTTCTTTCCTGTTTTTCGCCATCCACAGGCTCCGGAGGCTTTTCTGAACCTTGGGGAGGGCAAAAATAGCTTTCCCCGCCTGCCGGAAGACCAAAAATCAGCACTGGAGTTGACATAGGACAACGCCTCGCGTGTCCTCAGATATGGCTCCACGTGCCACCTGTGGCATACATGCCATAGGTTCGCCATTGCGGGTGCAGGGTCTTCTGCTTAGGTGGAGGTTGGACTAGATGACCTACAAGGTCCCTTCCAACTCTGTTCATCTGTTAACCAACCCTGGGAATGTCCTTCATACATCCCACCATATTTTAGGTACATTTGAAGTACCTACAACCAGCAGAATACCCAAGTAGTGGCTGAACTGCAGTTGGCTTCATAGTTGAGTGTAATGAGAAGAAGGAATAACCTTGAGGAACAGAAGGAAGAGCCACAACCAAGGGAACACTCAAATAACATATCTCTCTCACTTGACAAGTGAGATGGAGCAGCATAACAATTTAATAAACAAAATAATAATAATAGTAGAAATACTGTAGAAAAGCTGAGAAGACATCTAGATCTGGAGCTCAGCTCTAACTCCATCAGCCCCAATCACAATCTGTTTGGGAGGCAGAGAAGATTGCTGGTCCTACCTGGGTGTATAAATGTATTGGGGTTCAGGGACTGGTGCATAGTCCCCAAAGAGGAGATCAGCGTTGTCTGCAAAGGGTCCGACCACCTGCACAGAAGGAATAAGGGAAAGTAGAGGAGCTTCTGCCTCTCGGAGGAAGAGGAAGTTAGTGGCCATCAAGGTTTCTGGGAGCCAAATGGTGTTGCTGATCTGTTGTAAAACTCCCAGAAGTCAAACTGGACAATCTGGACAACGTTTGCTCAGACATGTTCACAGATGTGTCAATCTTCCCATGAATACGTCCCAGAAAGGAACGTCCATCATTAGTGCAAACCTATCAGGAACAGGTAAATTTTGCAAGTGTCCCTCGGTGAACACTTACCGCAATGGTCTTGTGCAACAGATATTCCTCCTTAAAAGGCAGCATTTCATTCCGGTTTTTCAGCAAAACAAGGCTCTGGAGGGCGGCTTTGAGGGCCAGATGGCGGTGGGCTTCTGACTGTATAACCTCAGCCCCCAGTGCATTGTAGGGGTTCATGGCTGGTGGGTCAAATTCTCCCAGCCGTAGACGAGTGAGGAAAAGGGGACGGACACGATCCCGGATTATCTGCAGGAAGTAGGGAGAAGCAGCGTTGTCTTCAATAAACTACAATGGAACACTGGGTGTATCCTTTTAAAATCCCTTGGCAATTGCAATTTTACCAGAAAAGTACAGTACAGTACAGTACAGTACAGTACAGTACAGAATAGAATAGAATGGACACACAAGGAATTTGTCTTTGGTGCAGATGCTCTCAGTGTACATCGGGGTAGTCAACCTTTTTATACCTACCGCCCACTTTTGTATCTCTGTTAGTAGTAAAATTTTCTAACTGCCCACCGGTTCCATATTAATGGTGATTTATAAAGTAGGGAAGTAACTTTACTTTATAAAATTTATAAAGCAGAGTTATAGCAAAACCCTAGGGCCCACCATGAAAGCTGGAACGCCCACTAGTGGGCGGTAGGGACCAGGTTGACTACCACTGGTGTACATAAAAGAAAAATAAAATAGAATACGTTCACCAAGATTCATAAGATGCAACACTTAGTGATAGTCATAGGTTACTAATAAGCAATCAAATCATACCAAGAAACAAATGAAACAATATAAATTGTAAAGATACAAGCAACATGGTTATAGTCAGAAGTGGGGAGAGATAGATACTAGGAAGGATGGGAATAATAATAGTAACACAGTTTTAGTAAATAGTTTGACAGTGTTGTGGGAATTAGTTGTCTAGCAGAGTGAAGGCATTTGGGAAAAAACTGTCCTTGTGTCTAGTTGTTCTGGTGTGCAGTGCCCTATAGCGTTGTTTTGAGGATAGAAGTTGAAACAATTTATGTTCAGGATGTGAGGGGTCTGTAGATATTTTCACAGCCCTCTTTTCATCATCCGGTCATCATCTGGTTTGATGACTCCTATGATAGCAATATTTAGGATTTAGTTTCTTACAAGGTCTTTTTAGGTTCAAATATTTTGAGGACGAATATACCTTATTGTCTACTTTAAACACCTTTTGGATATCTCATTTCTTGTCTGCCTGTCTTTTTTTTGACCTTTTTTTGTGCTTTTCCCAGAGTTTTGCCTACACCTGGCCATGTGCTTTTTATATTATCCAAATATTCGATCCCTGTGGTTACTTTAAAAAGGGTAAAAGCCTTTACGTACCGCATTATTGTAGGTTACTTCACCGTTACCACTGCTTCATAAAGCTTTGCTGACCTTTTTAAGTAGTTTACAACATCAGCATATTGTCCTTAACAATTTGGGTCGCCATTTTACCAACCTTGGAAGGATGGAAGGCTGAGTCAACTTTGAGCCAGTGAGAATCGAACTCCTGGCAGTGGGCAGAGTCAGCCAGAAATACTGCATTTTAACCACTGCACCACCACGGCTCATAATGCCTGTTTGTTAGGCAGTCGTGAAGTAATGGCTACTTAGCAGTTCCAGGGTTTACAGTTGAGGGTGTTGTGTGAACGCTGCTAGGGAATAACAGTTCCAAGATATGGAGTTGGAGGGCAACAGTAACAATTATCTTGTCCTCTATAACATTCCTGAAAAACTTCCCATCTAACTTCTGTTGATAATGTTCCAATTGAAGATGAGTCTAGCTCTTTCCATGACACTCAAACACCTGATGTTTTACTCACATTAAATCAAAACCTCCCTCCTCTGTAATATAAGTCCTTCGTTGTGGAATCCGACTTAGGATGTTCCTTAGAGCCCTATCCTTCTTACTGAACTACAACCCCCAGCAATCCCATTTAGTAATAATTAATTGTAATGGATGCTGGAAGTTGTAGTTTAGTAACATTTGGAAGAGCCCTAGGTCCCCCGTTTTTCTTCACTCATTGTTATGACCCAGGCTTCCTTAGAAAGCAAGAAGCAAAATCTTGGTCCCTGCAAAACCTCTTTTATTTACACGACTGTGAATTCCTTTCATTCACAGTCATCAAGTCTTTAGCAAACAGTCTTTCCGAGGAATGCTTATCCACACACACCTTATCTCATTTGGAGCACTGCCAGATAACTAGTTTCCAAACACATGGCAAAGCAAAACTATACACAGTGTCTCTTATAACCACAAACAGAACTTTCCGGACCGAATTGTTTCCTGCAAAAGCCCACTCCCCCATTTGTTCCTCTTTTGTTTCCTATGGGAGGGGCCAATCACCTCTAAGCAGAGGTGGGTTGTTGCCAGTTCAGCCTGGATCAGCCGAACCGGTAGAAGCGGTGGTAGGAGGCTCCACCCACCTGCCCGGACACTTCTGCGCATGTAGAAGTGAAACCGGTAGTAAAAAAATTAGCAAGCTACCTCTGCCTTCAAGGTGTGGCTTGACTCTTAAGTCGATCCTGCTTTCTTAGTTGTTCTTGTCTCCTGGCAGCTCTGCGCATGCGCACACTGGGAACAGGCTCCAGCTGTTCCTCTGCCTCACTGCTGTCTAACTCCCTCTCTGCCTCCCATGCAGAGCCCTCATCTGAACTTTCCTCAACCACCAGGACTGGCCCCTGTTCTTCCCCAACCTCCTCATTGTCTGACTCTGCTGCCAGCTCCACTGGCAGGCCACAATACTCATTTGGAAAAGAGACAGTATCACATCCCGTCTGCTATCTGCTCTGGAATTGGTGGCACTTTCTTGTACTGCAAGGAGATGGACCACTTACTTCCAGAGAAATGTTGCCCTTGCTAAGGGCTTCGGCTATGTACATGTAAACATTATTCTTCATCCCAAAAGAAAGCTCTAGATTACATCCAGCATTCACAGCCACTGCAGGGAGGAAGAAGGATAGCACTGTTAGTACAAAAAAATCAGTGAAACATTGGCTCCAATTCATATTTAACTGCAAGCCATGGTTTGGCTGTTCTGTTTGAGGAGACAGCCTGGCAATAGTGTGCCACCCTTAGCAAGGGAATAGCAACAGCAGGTAGACTTATATACTGCTTCACAGGGCTTTCCAGGCCTCTCTAAGCGGTTTACAGAGACAGCATCTTGCCCTCAACAATCTGGGTCCTCATTTTACCAACCTTGGAAGTATGAAAGGCTGAGTCAACCTTGAGCCAGTCAGGATCAAACTCCGGGCTGCGGGCAGAGTTTGCCTGCAACACTGCATTCTAACCACTGCACCACCAGGACCAAGGAAAGGAGGGGAGAAATAGCAATTGCACTTAGACTTATATACTGCTTCACAGTGCTTTTACAGCTCTCTCTAAGTGGTTTACACAGTCAGCCTAATGCTCCCAACAATCTGGGTTCTCATTTTACCCACCTCATAAGGATGGCAGGCTGAGTCAACCTTGAGACGGTAAGAATTTGCCTGCAGTACTGCATTCTAAGCACTGCGCCACCACCTTATGTTATAGAGTTTAGGATAATCTTTGCTGTTGCCCTCCAATTCCAGGTTCTGGAATTGTTATTCCCTAGCAGCTTCAACTACCGATGTTCATATTACAGCCCTTTGGATCTCCATTTCTCACTGCTAACATTAACACGACAATGCCTAGGATAATATTTGTAACTTCATTCTGGATGTACAGCATATGTGCCAATTGGAGGGCTCAGACGTTAAAGAAGCTAAGTTTGTCAATTGGAAAGCTAAGAACCTGGGTTCAAGCCCCGAGCACTGTGTGATGGGGTGAGCCCCCATTACTTGCCCCAGCTCCTGCCATCCGAGCAGTTCGAAAGCATGCAAATGTAAGTAGATAAATAGGAACCACTTCGGTGGGAAGGCAACAGTTTTGTGTGTGCCTTGGCATATAGTCATGATGGTCACATGACCATGGAAGCGTCTTCAGACAACACTTGCTCCCTCAGCTAAAAACTGCAGATGTGCAGCATCACCTAAAGCAGTGGTTCTCAACCTGTGGGTCGGGACCCCTTTGGGGGTCGAACGACCCTTTCACAGGGGTCGCCTAAAACCATTGGAAAACACATATTTTCAAAAACGTATGGAAAACATGAAATAATTTTATGGTTGAAGGTCACCACAACATGAGGAACTGTATTAAAGGGTCGCGGCATTAGGAAGGTTGAGACCCACTGACCTAGAGTCAGGCACCAGTGAATAGAGGAAGCAAAGGTAAAGATAAGGCAAAGGTAAAGATTCCCCTTGAACATATGTGCTAGTTGTTCCTGACTCTAGGGGGCGGTGGTCATCTCCACTTTAAAGCCGAAGAGCCAGTGCTGTCCAAAGACGTCTCCGTGGTCATGTGGCCGGCATGGCTAAACACCGAAAGGTGCATGGAACATTCTTACCTTCCCACCAAAGGTGGTTCCTATTTTTCTACTTGCATTTTTTACGTGCTTTCGAAGTGCTAGGTTGGCAGAAGCTGGGACAAGTAACTGGAGCTCACTCCATTAGGCAGCACTAGGGATTCGAACCACCGAACTGCGGACCTTTCTGATCAACAAGCTCAGCGTCTTAGCCACTGAGCCACCACGTCCAACCTTTACCTTTACATGTGCTAATTCCAGACAAGGAGTTTTTGGTGGGCGTGGGAGAGAAAATAGTGCTTGGGTGGTGAGAGTAAGGACAGATAGAAGCAAATCTGGGTTCCAGGCCAGAAATTTAGCCTCCGAGCATGGACTCTCGGAACTCAATCTGCAACTGAAGCTAGGCTGCAAAAGGCTTCCAGCATGGAGGTGAGAAGAGAGGGCTTCCCAACACTCACCAATGGCAGTCTCCAGGAAACTGTGTGTGTACTGGTGCCCAACCATGATCAGCTCCACAGCACCTTCATCGCTCACTACATAACCCTGGAAGCCCCATTCATCACGCAGGATGTCTGTCAGCAGTTTCTTGTTAGCACAGGCTGGGACTCCATTAATTCTGCCAGACGAAACAAGGATGGTTAGCAGATTTACAAGCATGACGTCTTTGGGGTCATCGCTTCCGGTCCTCCTGATCTGACAAGAGCCCGTTTGGTCTGGTGGTTCAGGCACCAGGAAAAAAGCAGGAGGCAGGGAGTTCTAGTCCCACTATAATCATGAAAGGCAACTGGGTGACTTTGGGCCAATCACTAGGAGACTGTGAGTTCTAGTCCCGCCTTAGTCATGAAAGCCAGCTGGGTGACTTTGAACCATTCTCTCTCAGCCCATCTCACCTCACAGGGTTGTTATGGGTAAAAGAGGAGAAGGAAGATTTGTTGGATCTGTCTGCTGCCTCAAGTTATTTGTAAAACTAATACAAGCAGGATATAAATAAAATAAAATATAAAATAAAATAATCAAACAAATAAAATAAAATAAATAAAATAAAAACAAAAAACAATAAAAATATAAAATAATAATACAATACAATGCCAATAATAAAATAAAATAAAATAAAATAAAATACTACCTGTTATAGCTGCACATGAAGCTAAATGTCCCAGGCCATACGCAGGCTTCAAACTGAGGCATGACAACAATAAAACAAATAAAATAAAATAATAAAACAAATAAAATAAAATAATAAAACAAATAAAATAAACCAAAAAATAAATAAAATAAAAACAATAAAAATATAAAACCATAATACAATACAATACAATGCTACCTGTTATAGCTGCACATGAAGCTGAACGTCCCAGCCCGTACACAGGCTTCAAACTGCGGCAGGAAAGTCATGCGCCAATCACGTTCCTCCACCTGTCACAAAACATGCCACCATGTTCTCAGGGTGTTGCCAGGTTTGTGAAACTCCCCCCCCCCCCCAAGTCACTTCTGTCTTCTGTCCTTTTAATATAGGCAGTCCTCAGCTTATGACTGGTTGCATACCACCACTGCCAGAAAGCTCATAAAACTGATGGCCTTCCCCTGGGATATTTACAACCTGGTTCCAACAGCTGCACCCCCCTCCCTCACAATCAGGTATCAGCTGCTCAACAATCAGCTGGCATTTGCAGCATCCTGTATTCACATGACTGCATTTTTCTACGCTTTTGGCAAAACCGGCATTTCCTGCTGGCTTTCAGCAAAACAATTGGTTCATTTTACAATTCCGGCATTCACTTTACAACCGTGGTCTTTGCTTAATGACTACCACAAGGAAGGTCATAAAATTGGGACAGTCAGATGGGTAGCCTGCATTACAAACATCATGATTTACAGCCGCAATGAGCAGGCGCCATTACAGTCTTAACTTAAGGGCTGTTTGTAAATACCTTACATTCATAACCAAGTTTCCTTGTTCACTCCTCATTGTAACCCAAGCCAGCCCTCTATATGTCTCCATCATCCAGGTCATGGTTGTCCCAAAGATGCTTTTTCAAGAGGCAACTGGACTTTCTGGTTTTTCTTGGAAGACATTTCGCTTCTCCTCCAAGAAGCTTCTTCAGAGCTGAAGAAGAAGGTGAGAAGCGAAACATCTTCCAAGAAAAACCAGAAAGTCCAGTTGCCTTAGGTAAATTGACATTTGAAATTAGAGAACAAGAAGATAAAAATTTTATAAGACATGGGATTTATTTTATCAATGGTTAGATAAAAAAACATGGAAATGAAAGATACTAGAGAATGTTAGCAATACAAGAATAATAGAATGACACTGAATATAACATAAAGATACATTATTATTGGATAGATTGAAAATGATGTAAAGAATGATGTAAACAATATAAATGATCCCAACATTTAGTGTATCTCATTGAAAATGAAGGAATAAATAGTGATAGTCAAACAAATGAGGTACAATGATAATAATGTATATAAACATATTTGATTTGATAATATGTGATTTCATATAAATTGCAAGTGATGACTATGGAAAGGATGCACAAAAACCTTGTAATCAAATGACACACTATATGAAATGAAAGATGGTTTTATGTTTTATGCCTTGTTTGTCTATGTCTGTCTAAAAATAAAAAAAATTTTTTTTA